TATAGCAACTTTTGTTTGCCTTGCTTATCAGGAAAAATTGAAGTTTTAACTGGATTTTGCAATAGGACTGTGTAGGCAGTTGAAAAACCTTGGGTTTACTAACAGTTTCTGTAACTACTTAAGTAAAATAATAAAAAAAAAAAAGGGAAAACACTGCATTACACAGAAATGATCCATTAGTTGAAAAGTGGAGGCACACTCTTTTAAGTAAAATTAGTGCTTCAGCATTTCTAAACCCTTAAATTTTCAGTAGTTTACGGAATAGCTGCTTACTTCCTTAAAAAACTGTCTTCTAGAATTGATACAGATGCATGTTTACTGTTTTAAGTTGATAGTTTTAAGTATCCGTTGTTTGGATTTGTTTTGTTGATAATGTATGTGGGACTAAGATACTGGGCAATTAAAAAGCTCTAAATTTCTTTACATTAGTCAAAAGACTGACCATATGAATCCTCAAATTTATAAATATTTACAGGTGCAGATAAAGGTAATTTCAAAAATATTATAATAGCTTATAGAACAGTTATGAGTACTGAATCATGGAGCTCCTCTGTGTTAGGTGACCATTAAATTTTCTGGCCAGCAGCATGCTGCATCTGCATGATTAATGTGTGTATAAATGTAAGAATTAAGTGGACTCCTTAAACAAACAGCTATTTAACAAGGCTGTTTAATAAAGGAAATAAACCTACTTTATTAAAACTTATATGTAAATAATAATATATCTAATTCCATATATTTCTTGATAATTGCTATTAACACATTTATTAATATTTGTATAATTTAAACATTAATTAAATGGTGTGATACTATATAGATATATAAATTATTAATGTCTATATATATAAGTATCAATTAGCAGAAGATTTCTCACCTTAATTTCAAAACTATACTTTAATTATGTTCAGTGTCAATACTGATTATCAGAAAAATATCAAGAGTGCCTAGAACAAAGAGGTAGGTACCATTTTGGGCAAGAGCTCAGGAGGACACTGATATACTCATAGTTGATTATAAATGCCGTTAAAGTCAGAGATTGCCATAATCAAATATTTTGCAAACAGATCTAATGTATTTCATGGCTGTTTCTTGTATTTTGATTTCTTCTCATAGATCACAATTATTTTTTTTTCTCTTGCAAGACAGTAGCTTACTTTTGTGTGCCCCATTAAGTCAACTGTTACATTGTCATAAAATACTACTTATCATACAGTGTAAAGTTTATAATATAAAGTAGGGCCAACACTAGGAGATGCTGATATGTGGTATTTTCACTCTCTTAAAATACCTGTGTATAATGAGAAATAGTTCACATTCACAGTGAAATACATGAAGGGCTTTTTTCAGGAATCCAATTATAGCAGGCAGCTCTCAAGGAGCTTCTGCTTATGTACTACATTTTGTCATCTACTTAGGAAAATAATTCTACTGTATTAGGCAGATACTCCAATACTGTTATTTATCCTCCTATAAACCCAAAACGGGCAGTTGATTTCTGCTTGGTGATAATACTATAATGGTTTAATTATTTCTGTAGTACTTAGAGTGGCTGGAGCAGACCTCATTTCCTGGTAGTGTTGTGTGCCATTAACTAGAAAAACAGGTAGCCATGTAAAACACAATGGAAATTCCATATATAAGAGAAAGCATTACTTACTCTTATGTAGTCATCTAGCTTTGTTTCAGTTGTTTCATAGTCTAATTGGTCTGTTTATTTTATTTCTATCAACAGATATTATACTGGAGATAATGCTCTGATGCTATGTGCTGCAAATAGTGAATTAAGGCTTTTTATGTTTAAACTTGTTTTAAGAAACACATGAAGATATTACATAGCCACACTTTTACGCTGAAGGGTTTAGGTGAAATCTCCTTAACTCAGCTTTGAAGGCATTCATGTGGATGCTTTCCTGTGAAGATGAATAGCTGGAACATTGGCAGCACAGGAGACAGTAAAAGTCAGAATTTACTAGTTAGAGTAATTCTGTCAGTTAAAGGACAGATACTTAAGCCTATGTTGGTATCACAATGATAAGGATAATTAGATTTAACCTAAAATGACATATTTTGCACAGAATTAGGTGTGTATCACTTTGCTTTTTTGTTTTGTCTACAGCTAAGTGCTTCAAATCAATATTGAACAGAATATTTAAAAGATATTTTTGTCATCTCTATGGAAGAACAGATACAAGAAAACAGAATTCCTAGCAAAAGCATAGCAGTTTCCTGACTTTTGTCACTGTTAAGACTGAGGCAGATAGAGATAATTATATTAAAACTGTGGTTTGATGATAGGCATAAAATACACTGTATACAGTTTGAGGTATACTGTGCTGGTTTTACTCAAAACTCTGTAAGTTCACACAATGCAATGCCAAACACTGAAAATTAGCAAGTCTAAATCACTTCCTGATGGTATGATTGCTTTGAGAAGTTACAGGCTTGTGCTCTGCAATTTTGACAAATTCTGATGTAAGAAACTGAGCAGTTTTTAATCCTGTTCAGAAATGAACAAATGCAAATTAGGATCTTAATCTGATTGCCTAGGCATATTAGAAACAAATTTATAACATGTATTATTTCTAAATTCTTTAATGGATATGTTATTTTTTTTTTTGATACCTTGTTAACTTTAGTAGCTTGTTATTTGAGAACATTTTTTACTGTTTATTGTGGAGAGCAGTAACTCATTTGTACAAAGAATTTACACAAATTGTGTGGAATATGAATTTAGTCTCACACTGATGTTGTTATAACTCTTTTTATAAATAGACCTTTCTTACTTTGGAATTATTCCTTCATTTTTGGTATGGCTATGTGAGAAGGTATCCTTTTTTTTAGGATATCAGTCTGCGCTTATCTGTCTTTTCAGTTCTTCCTGCAATAAGTAGTTAGAAATTCTCAGTCTTCAATATTGGAACATGGGTTGATTGATGGTAGGGTTTTTTTAGGATGGTCTTATATGTTTTTTCTGTAAGCTTCCTTGATTTACTGCTCTTATTGAAGTAATGGCACAATTTGCCAAGTTTGGAAGACTTTCACATTCATAAAGGCATATAATCATATTTACTAATTAAAAGATGATACCTATGTGCAGAGCAGTGAGTTCTTAGTATATAAACAAAATAATTTGCATCAGCTTGTTTGCATGTGTTAGATGGAGGTATTATTAAAAGTCATTGTTAACTGTCTGCTGTAACCAGAATAATTCTGTTTACATATATAAATTACACATATTTCATTGGAGTGTTTTTCTTCCATCTCTCTGGTGATACCTACTTTTTACCAGTTACTAGACTATGTCAGTAACCTCTCAAATTAACAGAAGGGTGAATGTTACCCAGCCCAGTTTGCAATAGTATTCTATTCTTTTAAGATTTCATTTGAATTTAAAATCCAGTATCCCAAGATTCACCCTGTCAGACTTTGCAGAGGTGTGTAACTAACTTTTGTAAAACAGAGGGTATTTCAAATTTGCTTTAGAGTCAAGGGCATCCAGTCAGCTCTTGGTTTTCCAGATGTGTGTTATTCAGCCTGAGGGTAAAAGGCATCATGGGCTCCATGCATGCCAGCAGTACTGTTGGTGTACTCAGGATGCAATATTTGCTTGCTCACCTGAGGGGTTCTGGTTGGACTAACATGAGAGCATTTGCTGTTCATTCGCTTTGCTTTTATCCTTGCACTTTAACAATGTGTTCTCACAATCTAATTTTAAATACCTAGATGATCCATAATTTTGGATCATGTGGTTTATACAAACCCTTTGTTATTTTTACAAATTTTCTGAGTGTTTTCATTAAGAGGCAGCCTGTAAAGCCATCATATCCACATCATTTGTACTAAAAGAAACCTATCCCTGGCAAAATGAATAAACAAAGCAGTTGGCAGTTAAGATGCTAATCCATTTTATAATTACCCCAACTTATTTTTTGATGGACATTACAATTACACTTCATAACAGCAGACTTTCTTCTTTAATATTATCTTACTTCTTACAGTACAAATATAAATGGCCTTCTAAGAAAATCCCATATGGAATTTTTAATATATAGTGTCTTTTCACATTCCTAAGAAAGGCAGTATACAAAACTGTATAACAGTGCATTATTTGCAAGAGAGAATTGGTATAGTGAATTCAATGCAAAGTTCAAAGAAACAAAGACCAGAGCAATGGCTGGCTGTACACTAGCAAATAAATAGTGTGATGTGGAAATCTCTACCATGATTTTTTGTCATTGCCTGGAACAATAAAATACATTTTAGAAAAAATCTTTAATACAGTTATTTCAGTCAGAATATGGCATTGCAGTGTTTGTATGATGTCACTCCTGTTTATCTTAGTCCTAAATCAGTTTTTCAGAAACTTTTTTTTGCAAACACAGATTGCCTTTTGGAAATCCTCCATGCTGACTCCTTCCCTGCCTCAAGACAAGAGGACAACAACTTTGTTCCTCCAAGGCAGAAGGCTTCGAAGTCACAGTAATAGTTGTTTGCCTTAAGTTGCTAGTGTCAAATATGCAGTTAACACTGCCCAAGAAATAAAACACTTTGTTACCCCTCCAAACACATCAATGTAGAATTTGAGAAACACGACTGTAAATGATCAATTAAAAATAAATTACTCTCATGTAACTAATAGGACCTAACCTCTTTATTCACAATGTTTATAAACAACTACAGCAGCCATTCTGGGATTAGAGAAGTGTGTTTATCACAAATTATCAATTGCTTTTGTCAACGATTTTCATATAAGTCTGTATTTAATGTATACTGTTGAAGATTTTGGATATATCAAAAACATGCTGTGCAGTTTTCACTTTTAAGTACCTAGTATTTTAGGAAGGTTAGGGCAAATGCATTTTGAAAGGTGAGTTCCTTCCTTTTTCTTAGGCTAACCTCAGACTGATGGGTTGAGGAGAACAGATAATAACTGCATTTTGTTTGGTGTTGCACCCCTAATGAGAGATAAATGTGAGTATCCTATCCGTCTGTTTTTCTAGGAGGTGATTTCCTGTCCTTTTTAAGAAAAAAGAAGGATGAGCTAAAAACCAAACAGTTGGTGAAGTTTTCATTAGATGCTGCTTCTGGTATGGCATATCTCGAATCTAAAAATTGTATACACAGGTAAGGAAGTTTTTTTTTCTCACTATTGTAATTTTAATCATTGGAAATGCTAGCTGTTTAAGTGTATATGGTGCTTACTATCAACAGAAGTGATCCCTACAACTTATTTGATTTGTATATTTTGTTGCTATTAGTATAAGTTAATAATGATTTTTCACCATAATAATTTGCATGATAAGGAACATAATTTATACAGTGACAATGAATCATATCAAAAGGCAATCTGTGAGGTTTATATACTGTCTGAAATTTACAGATACTTGCTTGGCTGACAGTTACTGAAACATAACTTGATTTTAAGTGTGTAATTTTAAGTGTGTTTCAGAAAAATCCACTGGTTTCTCAGATAATAAAGGGAGAAAAACTAGAGTTCTGTATATTAAAACACTAATTGCCTGGACTGCTTTCTCTAAAGTATACAAGATTATCAGGCATTACGCTCTTGGGGTTACCTTATTTCTGTTCCTACCATTCCTTTTTGTTGTTTCTTCTCCAGTTTAACTCGGCTGTGGCACTGCTTATACTCAGTTTGTATCAAAGGGGATGTACTTAATTTCCACCTATTTTTGTCTCAGACTATTGCAGTGTATACGCTGCAACAATAATATGGCTGAAATATGAGACATAAATGTGACTAATCTACTTTACAGAAAAATTACAAAGAACGAGTTTCATTTGTAATATTGATGACTTCTGCTTTTCATTGTAGAACATTTGTAGCTGAACTGTGTGCCACTTCACTTACATAATCAGCCTGGTTCATATTTAGCACCATTCTGACGAATGCTGTTATTGGAGACCTGAGTGGCATTTCTTTTAGATTTTTATCAACAGTGAATTGTTCAGTTGCAATTGTGCAGGTCAAGAATTAGATTTATCTTTAAAAACAGTCTTCCAAAGAGAGTAAGCTCGAAGCCTATTTATAAAATCTTACAGCATTATTGTAAGTGTCATTTATATATTTTTTGCTCTTTTTTTGTGTTTGACTTGATTTAAGGGACCATAAGTAGAACAGTAATCTTATGCTGTTTCCAAAATTTAGAAGATTATTCTGAAACACAAGTTAATTGAAACAGTTCTTCAAGATCATGATATATAAGCAACACTGAAAGAAAAAAAACCTTAACTCACTATATAAAACTATGGAATATTTCTTCTGGGAATTCCCAGAAAAGTGTTGTAAGCACCCTGGGGAAAATTAGGATTAAGGTCCCAGGGTTCTGTCATGGTAGAATGTGTTTCAGCCTGGCTCTGTTTGCAAAGAAAATAATGGCATAAAAATAACAGCAAATAACAGCGTTAGTCATTTACACTAGCCTCATAAATGCTCTAGTGCTTAATAATTTCTGTAACTGTCAGATCAATGTTAAATTGGAAGTGCCTGTTTAGAACTCATGTGTTCTTAGAAAATAAAAGCAAGGAGAAAAGTAATAGCTGAATAACTAGAATTTATTAGAATTGTATTGTGTAATATCTTAGTTGGCAATTGCAGTTACTGAAAAGAGTACAGTATTTATTCATTAAATGATAGTGTGATGATTTTAGAAACAATTATTTTTGGAGAAGTGCTATCCACACTTCCCCCCTTTTTTTTATTTTTAACCTGTGGAAGAAGTATATCCCTGCTTATCTATGTGGATTAGTACTGTTCTAACTACTACAGGTAACAGTGTGCCTTTAGTGTATCTCTGAAAGATGCACTGACAGCAGTGAATAGGAGGACCTTTCGTTAAGGTGTGTTTACAAAGCTAATAGTGATTCACAGAACATATTTCAGAGCAAAGACACATGTAGGAGTGTCTTACCATATGACGATTTCATTGTTCAATTGTTTCCAGCTAGAACTCCAGAACCCCACTGGAGTTTCAAACCCTCCTTACCCGAGCACTAAAGGTACAGAGCTGTGTGACTGCATGGTCTGTACAAGGAATCTGGGAACCCTTGCTTCTTCCTTTTTAAGTCAGATAAGTCAAATTAATCATGGGTAAATTTAATGTTGAGAGCATGTAGATTAGAGTGGAACACTTTAATTCATAGTAGGAAGAAGATTTAGCAGTATGTAAAAAGAGTAGTAATTTTTTGAAAGAACAATAAACTTGTTCTTTTTTGTCAGAAACTTTGTGAACTGAAAGTGGTTCTCGGGTAAAAAAGAGGTAAGAAAATTAACAAGAGAGAAAATGGACTAAGCAGTGGAATTATTTTTATTTTATTTAAAAATCCATAGGCTTTGATTGCTATTACTTAAGAAGGATCACTAATACATAATTAGAAATAGGTTCTATTATGTATGTTGCAGTAAAACAAAATCATTTTGCTTCATGCTGTTGTTTTAAAGGTTTACTCAGAATCCTCACATGTTTTTGTAGTAGTTTAGGTGACCATAATTTAGTACCATATACATTTAACTTGCTGGTAGTGTGAAACTAAAGGCTGCTCAGCAGTTTACTAAAGTTCTTTTTAGTGCCATTTTATAGTTGTAGCTGTAGTAGCTATACTTAGCCTTTATAGTTTAAAATTCTACCTAAATCTGTGCTGGCTTTCTGAAATTGCTGTTTGAATCATACTTTGTCTTAGCCTTTCAGTAGTGGGGCCAATGCAGCAGATAATCTGCTCTTTGTTTTCTGTTTTTGTGTGTGCTGTGGTGTTTCAGTAGGTGGAAATACAAAGTTAAAATTTGTCAGACTTAGAATGCTTGATGCATGTGAATGATTATTTGATCTGCATTTTCATCTCCTCTAGCATCCAGATATCTCTTGTTCTTTGCTCTCTTTATTCTCTTTAAAGAGCAGAAATAAGTGGGCTTAAATGAAAAAAACAAAACAAAACAAAACAAAAACAACAAAAAAACAAGAAAAAAAAACCAACCAAAACACAAAGCTGCATGAAAATATGTTATTAAAAGAAATAAAAAGAGTGGTTAAACATATAAAGAATAAAGAAGAATTATTTCTTGCTTTTCATTTTTACCATATGCTATTGTTTAGATCCATTTTTTCTGTTAATTAGAAACAGAAGGTAGGATGGAGATGTGATAATTTCAGTTAGTTCAATAAGCATTTATGAGTGGTCGTCTTTTCCATTATTTGATTTGCATGTGATGAATTCATTTTTCCCTAATTCATGTTTAGTTTCCAAACCAATCCTGTGGAAGTATAGGAGAGAAGTTTCAACTACCCAATTCAGATAATTTGGACATACCTGTTGTTCATTTTCCCTTCTCTTTACTGCCATGATTTTGTAATGAAAATAATTCAAATTGTGTTAGAATTCAATTGGAAAAAGTATTTTAATATGAAAATAAACAATTATCTGTAGCATTTCCTCTGTTTTTACCATTTGATAGTGCAACCTTTCAAAATCAAAGACAGTTAGGCCTTGAAAATATTTCTGTATGGAAAATCTGCATGGAAAATGTTTGGCTTTATCTACAGGTAATACAGATATATAATTCTAACCCATAGTCGCAGAAGTATGTTATTTTCAGTCAGCTACTGTGCTTCTTGATAGTGTTCTACACACAGTTTCATTGCTTTACTGGAGAAGTAGATAGATTTTTACCTTGTTTAAAAGCTTTTACATACACATTAAGAACCAGTTTATGTATTAAAATAATTTGATGTGAACGTCATGAGGTTCAACAAGGAAAATTGCAAGGTCCTACACCAGTGTCAGAGCAATGCCCAGTATCAATACAGACCAGGGGATGAGTGGATTGCGAGCAGCCCTGCAGAGAAGGACTTAGATAGCGATCCTGGTGGATGAAAAATTGGACATGAGCTGGAAACATATGCTCACAGCCCAGAAAGTCAACTGTTCCCCAGGCTGCATAAAAAGAGGTATGGCTAGTAGGTCAAGGGAGGGGATTCTTCCCCTCTGCTCCACTCTTGGAAAACTCCACCTTGAGTATTGCATCCAGCTCTGGGTTCCACAGCACAAGAAAGGCATGGATCTGTTGGAGCAAGTCCAGAGACGTGAAGATGGTCAGAGGGCTGGAAACCTCTGCTATAAAGAAAGACTGAGAGCACTGAGGTTGTTCAGCCTGGAGAAGAGAAGGCTCAGGGAAGATCTTATTATGGTCTTTCACTATATAAAGGGCACTTAACAAGAAAGACAAAGAAAGACATTTTTTCCTGTAGTGACAAGTAGTGACAGGACAAGGGGCAACTGTTTTAAACTGAAGGAGGCTTGTACTGAACATAAAGAAGGCATCTTTTATAGTGAAAGTGGTTAGACCCTGAACAGGTTGCCCAGAGAAGGTGTGGGTGCCCCATCTTTGAAAGCGTTTTAAGCAACCTGATCTAGTTGAAGATGTCCCTGCTTATTGCAGCAGGGTTGGACTTTGATGATCTTTGAAGGTCCCTTCAAACCCTAACCGTTCTGTGATTAAACAAATTTAAAGATAATAAAAGTCAGAATCTTGAAAGTGATCAATTAATAAACATTCCCAGTGTCAGTTTTTCACTAAAGTTACCAGCGGTAGTCTTCAACTATGCATCTGTCAAGCATAGTGTAAAGTTTGTATTCAATTCAAATGACTTATTTTCAATATATGTACTATGTGTGTGGGCAGATATGGACTAACTGCATTCAAGACATATTAGTCAAGTTTTCCTTTCAGCCAATTCACTTATGTTCTAGAAGTCTACCATATTCTGAATGAAATAAGATGTGGTAAGATGATAATGTTCTGTGGTCCAGTTCTTCCATTTTTACTCATACTACTACTGCTTCTTTTTACCTTAATTTTCTAGCCCTTAAAAACCCTACATTAAATTAAGTGGCTGGTTTAGCTTCATGCTATGAAATCCTGGCTCTGAGGATGTTTATTCAAGATTGCTATAGTTTTCATTAGCTATGTACCATTTATATTAACTACATATAATTTACTAGAAAAATATTTGCTTCCCCGTTACTAATCTAGTTCACTTAGTCTACTGTGTTCCCAGAACTTTTTTTTCTTCTTCAGTCTGGTAACTACTGGCGTAAAGAATTTTGAAAAG